TTCCTTTTCCCTCTGTTTGCTCTAAGTGATCACAGTTTGGAAACCGCATCCGTTGCAACTGTAGGATTCTGGAAAAGTCCCGTAATGGTGATCTCAGCAGCATAAATAGCTCCTGAGCACAAGCCAGGCAGGGCACTAGGCTCAGGGATAGAAGAACACACAGGACTCGGCTTCCACTGTTAGGGGGTTCAGTTTAGGTACAAGACAGCAAATGACAGCTTGCAGTGAGCAAGAAGGATGCTTTACTAGTTATGAAGTGACATTTTGTAATTTACTTCTCTGTGCCAGGTGTCCAGGTACCCTAAATGCATTAACTCACTGATTGCTCACAATAAAACTATCCTCTCCATTTTACAGATGGGGAAATTGAGACTTTGAGAGTTTAATAACTCACTAAGGTCCACAGTCAATAAAAGAGCAGAGCCAGGATTTGGAACCCAGGTGGCTTGGGTCCAGAGGCTTTAGTCCTAGCCACTAGGCTATTCAGCTTCTTAGGATGCTGTGTGTGCAGAACTGTTTTTAACCAATATAGTCACAATGCACAATAGGTGGTATCATCTGTATACTAGGGNATTGGTGAAGCCGAAAGAAAGGGTAAGAAATGGAAAAGGAAGTGCATGGGAAAAGATGATGGCAGAGACTTGAGAAAGGTAGAATTCCCCAGGGCTCAGGACAGACAATCCTCAGGGCTCCTGTCCATACTGCCTGGATGTCCATCCTGCACACAGGTGCTCCACTGGGAGGAATTTCCTAAATCCCAGCTCTGCTTCTGGGGACCCTTGCAGTGAAATGACTGCAAGCAAGAACTCAGCACTGAGAAACCTGTGTTTAAATCCTTGATTCATATATGGCTGTCTGACTGTAAGCAAGTTAACTAACTCTGAATAGCAGTCTTCTCATCTGTAAAATGGAAATAATAATCAAACCTATTTAGGAGACTGTTGGAAGCATTTAATGAGATTATGCATGTAAGGCCCATAGCACAGTCCCTAGCACATGCTAAATGCACAATAAATATTAATCATTACCTGTATTATCTGCCCTGAGACTGACCCCAAGGAAATCACATAGTACTGGTCTTCCTCCTCACCCTCAACTTCCCTATCCAGGTGAAACTAGCACCAAGAGTAGCTTTAAAGAGGCAAAAATACCAAAGGGCAGCATAACCGAGGGGTGGAGGGCAGAG